TCCGTAAACAGGAAAAGGTAAACTATTGCAGTAGCTGTCTGGAGGGGTTGGGGAGGGATCATCATACCACTAACTCCATCTTTGCCCAGCTTTCTAAACCTCTAACTCTGCTTTCCTAAATCTGGGCATATGTGATTTATAGACAGTATGCAGTACTAAAAAGCTAAAGGTGAATATATTTACCTCGTAGACCTCTGTGACTGTGTCCCCACCTCTGTTCTATCCTTATTGAGAGACACAGAGCTCTTTCAAGCAGGCATTTGTTGAATAATACAGGAGAGCCTGGACGGCAAGGCATAGTCTCTGTACTGTGTTTATCTAGTCACCTTGTTGAAAAGGAAACATAGGGGCTCAGCGCTTGGAGCTCAGTGAGTAGGGTTTGAGCACGGCCTGGGGCCTGCTAAACAGCCATGACAACTGCAACAAAAAAGAGTCAGGCATTGTGGCAGGCACCTGTAGTCCCAGCTACTTGGGAGGGTAAGGCAAGAGAATTGCTTAAGTCCAAGAGTCTGAGGTTGCTGTGAACTGTGATGCCATGGCACTCCACTGAGGGCGACATAGTGAGACTCTGTCTCACCAAAAAAAAAAAAAAAGAAAAGGAAACATAGGATATTATTACTCATTTTCCTTATGGTTCTAAATAGCACGAGTAAGATTTCTACTTATGGTGTAATGGTTTGTGAGAGCATTTGCCTATGGCCTTGGCCCTGAAGACAAATATGGGATATCTGTATCACGTGGGATAATGATGTCCAAACAAAAGGAAGTTGCATTTTGTCACACTGTATTTATCAGATACACTGATATCTTCCTGGGGGTCCTTAGTATTCTGCTGGGCTGGCTGTTGCTTACAAATAAAAGGTCACATTCAGAAGGAATTGGCTGAATAAATCCAATGTTAATTTCATTTTAGGAATCAAAAAGTTCTCAGAAGAAGTTAATCTGTTTATAGCTAGGTAAAAAGGATCCCTTTTACTGGGAACGGCATCTTGAATAATCCCATCATTGTACGGGAATAAGGTAGGGCAGCCGTTCCCAGCCTAGTCTGCTTATTGGATTCACTTGTGCTTCAAGAATTACTGATATTTCTGTGTCTCCACCAGAGATTGTGATTTAATGGGTCTGGAGTAGGGCCTGGACTTAGGAATGTTTAAAAGATCTTATCTCCATCTTCTTAATTCTAGTGTGAAGACAATTTTGGAAAGTACTAAGCTACAGGGTAATATTTTTTCCTTTCTCCCCACCCCTGGGGTCAGTGGGAGTTAGAGACTAAAGATGCTATTTTTGAGAACTGGGCAAAATGAAATATATTTACATTCCTTAAGACAGAACTGGTTTTTAATCGCTATCAAGTAACTGAGCAACTCGGACATGGTGGAGCAAAGCCCTCTTAACACTGTGTGCCCAGAGATCCATGCCTCATCCTTGCCTGCCCTGAAGCCAAGAGGCAGCAAGTGAGGCCTCACTAAACTCAGATATGTTTAGTAATATCTGAGGAACATGGGATGTGGTGTAAGGGACCAGCTCTTGCCGTGTCTCTTTTTTGCCCAGCGAAATGCCTGCCAATTCAGCAACAGGACAGATATGTCACAGGAGGTGAGCACAGAGGCCCTGTGCTCCAGTGTCAAGGAGCAGTTAGGTGAGTGACAGCCAGTGCAGTGGCACGTGCCTGTAGTCCCTGCTCCTTGGGAGGCTGAGGTGGGAGGATCACTTAAGTCCAGGAGTTTGAGGCCACAGTGCACTATGATCATACCTGTGAATAGCCACTGCCCTCCGGCCTAGGCAACACAGTGAGACTCTGTCATATACATACACATATATAAGATGCTCTGCTGAGAGTCCTTGAGAGCCCTACTTGCAGGGAGACTCTAGAACCTTCTCCCCTGGATCATTTCTCTTCTGTTCAGATTATTCAGTTCCACTAGGAGAATCTCTCTATCAAAGAGAGGTCCGTAGAAAGACCTATAAGAGAAATCAATCTGTATCTTTAAACTTAGTGGCTTAGTAGTTTTTAGTAAAACTAAAGTTTTCCTGTTGCTCATTTCCTTTCTCCTTGCAGCCACTCCTTCTGGCAGCCTCCATTAGCCATTTGGAATTCAGAATAGTAAAGTTCTCTAAAAGACCTTTGAGAAGTATTAAGGTTAACAGTACCTTAAACTTGTAAGATGCTATTGCTAATCTTTCTGGTCATTACCATAAATATTTATGCTTGTATGTTTGAATATGGATGGAAATTACAAAACTGCTGATAAATAAAGGCAAATACGGGCGGCTCCTGTGGCTCAAAGGAGTAGGGTGCCGCCTCATATGCCAGAGGTGGTGGGTTCAAACCCAGCCCTAGCTTAAAAAAAAAAACTGCAAAAAAAAAAAAAAAAGCAAATACTTTTCTGTTACAGATGACTAGGTTTTAGTCTCTTTGTGATATTAAGGTTTTTTTCTTTCTGTTTAAAAAATGATTTGGGTAGGCAATACCTGTAGCTCAGTGGGAAGGGTGCCACATACACCAAGGCTGGGAGGTTCAAACCTAGCCCCAGCCAGCTAAAACAACAATGACAACAACTACACACACACCCACAAAGCTGGACATTGTGGCAAGCGCCTGTAGTCCTAGCTCCTTGGGAGACTGAGGCAAAAGAATCACTTAAGCCCATGAGTTTGAGGTTGCTGTGAGCTGTGATGCCATGGCACTTTACCCAGGACAACAACTTGAGACTCTGTCTCAACAACAAAAAAAAGATTTGGGGATAGAGGGGGAAGAGTATATAGGGCCTTAGGGAGCTGAAGACCCAATTTTGTTCTTGTCCAAGTCCGTTGTTCAACACAACTACAGAAGCAAGAACAGGGCCCGGGGGCAGGAGACTTGATTTATAGGCTTCTGATCTGTGTGTGGCCTCCACATTGTCTGGGGCTCCACATCCACTGTTTCCATGCTCGGGTCCCTGAGATGGTGTATCACCACTTGCTAGTGGACAAGTAGGCTAACAGCCACCCAAAGATGACGGGTCCTAATCCCTGGAACTTGTGTTCCTTATAAGGAAAGATCTTTGCAAGTGTGATTGAACTAAGGATCCTGGCATAGGGAGATTATCCTGAATTATCTGGGTATCCCCCAAATCCAGTTATGAGCATTCTTAGAAGGATAGAGGAAGACGTGATAAACACAAAAGAAAAGGTGATGTGCAGACAGAGATAAGAGGGATGGGGCTACAAACCAAGAAATGCTGGAAGAGGCAAGGAACAAGTTCTCCTCTTAGAGCCTCCAGAGAGCACCCCCTTGACATCTTTGTTTTGGCTCAGTA